CTGTCATCAAGTCACCTGGTCCATCAATTTGCTTTGCCGGCACTGCCTTTCTTGCACGCTGCCTCTTTTTGCATTCGGGAATCGAGTCTCTTCTTCTTTTCTTCTTTCTCGTCTTCTCGCCTCTTTCCGTCCTCAATCGCATCCCGCCACACCCTGCCAGCAGCTTCCCTCCCTGGTCCGTGATCGGTGGCCCGTCTCTCCCGCGTGTACTTGGCCAGGAACAGGAACCGAGACCTCGTCTTGTTGTCATTTTTCTCTGCGCTGCGTGTTTTGTGTGGGTGCGCAGGTGACCTGAAAATCGGCTCCCACTACCGACCGAACCTGCAGCGCTGACGGCATCGGCCTCGCCCTCTCATTCGCCCGCGCCCAAGACAACTTACACAAACCACACAACCCCGTCTCTCGACAAACAAGACCGTCGGTGCATGCTGAAGCAGGCTGCTGCTTCTCATGACTTTGTGATCCGGCAACAGAGGGCTCTTGTGCTGTCGAGCCGCGCACGCACGTCGGTGCATCATTGCCTGCAGAACTCACCATGACCGCGGTGCTCTCCAGCGACGACAGTTACTTCTCAGCTCCGATGCGGCGGTCTCACTCCCAGTCCAACCTGGGCAGCAGCTCGCTGTCATATCACCACATGGCCGACCACCTGTCGAACCCATACGCCCATCCTCCAAACAAGTCCTTTTCCGACTCCGACCACTCCTCAGCGCCCTCCTCGCCTCGCACTGCCCACATTGAATCGGCAGACGTCTCCTACACCTCCACTCCCTCCAGCAACCTCTCCATTGCCTCCGATTCTGAAGAGACCTTCTCAATAGACGAGTCCCCCGAGGACCACTTTGGCCTGCCGCCTTTCACGGCCGACAAGCTGTATCTGCACCCGCAGATCCGGCCAGATGACAACCTAGAACCTCCGCCGAGTCCTCGCACTGGGGACTCCTACAACGTCTCGCCTGTCGAACACGAAAGCTCCGTCAGCACCTCACGGCCGGACAGCCCACAGCTCAGCGACCATGCCGAAGACGACACGGCGATTGCGGCCAAGCCGTCCCGCCAAGTCGACTACCTGTCCCACGACTGGAGGGAAGAGGACATCTGGTCATCGTGGAGGTACATAATATCGAAAAGAGGGGAATTTCCCAACAGTGCCCGGCTGGAGAATGCCTCTTGGAGGACATGGATGAAGGCCAAGAACAACCTGAAGACGATATCTCCGGAAACACTCAACTGGTATGCTTTCCCTCCCCCTTTGAGTGGCTCCTCGCCATTGCTGTCTTCCTGTATGCTGATCTCTTCTTACCTAGGCTCAAAGACTACGACGTCACCTGGCTTTACGGCCCTCTTCAGTCTGGAAAGCGCAACATGTCTGCTAACAAGACTGGCCCGCCCAGCGTCTCATTATCAAAATCGAGCTCTTTAGTCAACCTCAACAAGAAGACCATCCTCAAGAAGAGAAGCATGTCGGAAATCATGCTCCAGAGGTCTCTGTCGAGCGCCTCTCTCCTCAAGCAGGCCGCCGCCGCCGTCCACGCTCAGGAGTATCGGAAAAGCGCAATGAGACCTGGCCTGGGGCGGGCGCACACAGATTACGTCTCGCTCTCTTTCTCCTCCAGGCGCATGAGCCACGAAAACAGCAGCGCCTTTGCTACGTCTACTGAGTCGTCGAGCATTACGTCGCCTTGCCCCGAGCGCAAGCATATTCACTTCAACGAGCAGGTGGAGCAGTGCATTGCCGTCGACGTCAAGGGCGAGGACGAAGACGATGTCGATATGGACATGGACGTCTTTGGTGACGAGAGCGATTCTGACGATGGAGTCATGATGAAGCGGGTCAGGTCAAAACGACGCCCATTGACAAAGCAGCGCGCCTCGAGGAAGTCGTACACTGCCGAGGGAAAGATCATCGCCATGCTCCCGTCCACAACGCTCAAATATCAAGAGGACAGCCCCGATTCTCGCGATTCGGCCATGAAGCACAGCACCGGTGCCCGCAGCCCTCTGTTATCCCCTTCATCCTCTCAGGAGACGCTTCGCCCTTCCAAGCCGTCGGGCGGTTTCTTCTTTGACGAAGACGAGGACGATCTCGATGCAGCGATCCAGGCTCCCAGCGTTGGCTGGCTCTCCCCGCCAAAGGACACTGGCGCTGGCGGATTGCACAGATCGACGTCGTCAAACAGCCTCCTTGACGAGCCGGCGGGCATGCGTCGAACGCCATCGGGCATGTTCATGCCATGCGACCAACCCGAGACGTCATCCAGCGAGGGCATCTTTGGCCGGGTCATTGACACGGTCAACACCGCCCGCGACATTGCCCATGTCATCTGGAACGTCGGGTGGCGAAAGTAACCGGACAGAGATCATCACCGACGATGCAATTAGCCGTTGGCCGACGTCAACGGTACATACATACGATGCCACGGGCAGCGCAGCGATCCGAGCGCTTGGCTGGATTTTGCGCGCCCGGCGCCATCAGTCCCAGGCAAACAACCGTTTCCACCTCCAGGCCCCGTCCAGCGACCGCAGATCCGGGGTACCTGTCTTGCCTGTGTCGCATTCCGGTGATATGCGTCCCCTGTCTTGGATGCAGTCATTCAATCCAAACATTACATAATTGCCTTGGTCTAACTGAGCCTCGAGCGGGACGCCGAGTCCCCTTTTTTTGTTGGGGCCGGTCAACGACAACTAAGCCGTTGGCGCTGCCAGTCCGGCGTCATCGGGAGGCAAAAGCACGACGAAGGCCGCAACGGCAATCTTGTCACTGTGGACACGGACATGTCACGAGATACCACTTGTGGTGGTCGGGTGACTTCACCTCGGCCGCCTAATTTTCCTTCAGCTATTAGCTCTTCTTTCTTCTTCCCTTGGTTCGACGACTGAGGGCCAGGGTATCCCGGCTATACGACGGCTCATGACACTGTCTCTGTACTGTCCGTTTCATCTCGTCTACTCTGCTTTTGTTTTTGCGCCGTCATATACCTAATCTGACGATTGCGAAGAGCTGCTCTTTCAGTTGTTCTCATACCATTTGTCTCCCCTTTGTGTTTTTTCTTTTTCTGGGTCACGTTATATTAAAATATCTGGGCGGTTCAAGGGCTTGTCATTGCTTCTCAATTGTGTTGCCGGCGTTTGTCTGTGTGCCAGAAAAAGAAAAAAGGAAAACTTGTGGTTTGTTGTCTTTCTCTTTTTTACTCCCTAATTGTCGCTGAAAACTTGTTGTACGAGCAAATGTGGAAGAGGGACAATATTCCTCGGCAAAGAATCCGGGGCAACATATGGCATGGAATTGGGTTTTCCTTTTTCTCTTTTTCTTTCATTGGTTTTCATGAGATGGGCACAAAAAAACCGGAATGGATTCTTGGGGTTTGGACAAGTAGATGCATCGTTTGTACATAGGCTTCCACAGGACACAAGCAAACGAAATAAAAGACAAGAAATCAAGATATAAAAAGACGCTGCGTTGTTCCGTGAAGATGATGCGCGCGAGGGCTGTTTTGGGCGACCCAATGTCTCTACTAACCTACCTAAGTAATACCTACCTACCTACTGTCTTGGCTGTACGGGGGATAACCTTGAGGGTGAAAGGCAATGCCTGATCTAGACTTTTTTGTCTGAGTCAGGGCATTGACTGTATGAAGCCAATGGGAGGCCTGGGGTTTCCATCGTGAGACCTCAGCATTGAGCCGTCAGGCGTACTAGCAGTGATATGCACTGTATGCGCAAACTAAGGTACCTGGAGGTGCTTGACAAATAAGTCTGTTCGACGCAGTTGTTCAACGCAGTTGTTCAACGCAGTTGGGGATCAAGCCGTTGGGCTCTCATTGTTTACATCAGCAGAAGGTAAAGAGGAGAGGGAGCGGTTAGTTGCAGGAGGTTGGGCACACGCTCTTACATATTACAATACATGGCGGTTTGGGTAAAGATGAGCGGGCAACCAGACGATTGTGAGAAGCCGGATGGCAGGATAACAATTAATGTTGGAGCATGTGTTTCGTACTGTTTCTTTCTTTGGGAGTTTGTCTATATGTATTGCGGTGGGAGGCCGCGTCAATCTACGCTACTACTTGTGAGAAATGCCTATCTTGATGATGCTATAACATATTGGTACAACAGATGAATAAACTTGGTGCAGCAAGGAAACCGGACAGAGGGGAGGTATGTGTGTGCCCATTTGTGTGTGAGTGGTATGGTACAGTATGGTACAGGAGAGAGTATTGTGTACATGTGTGGCCCAACATACCTACAAGAGACTAAACGGCGCAGGTGTTGGGATGGTTGTTGTTGTCAAACTAGAAAGCCTCCTTGCGGTCAATTTCCGTGGTGAGCCCGAGGAGGAGGAGGAGAAGAAGAAGAAGAAGAAGCTTGCCAGCAAACAACCAGAACAAGACAAATGAAAAGGAGCGCTCCCTCGCAGGTACCTGTACTCGTATGTAGGTCGTCGGAGTCAGGCGCCGCCGTGTGCCAGCGTCTGCATGCGGGAAACCAAGACATTCGTCGTGTCGTCTCCAGGGTTTTTTTTACTTGCTTGGTTCCCAACAAAAGACCCTTGATGTGGGTGGAGCCGGGGCCCCTCGTCAGATGCAGCCCAGAGTATGGGGTAAAACTTGAAGCCCTGTGCGGGGGAGAGGAGGCAATGCTACTACTAGTACTAGTATTAGGCAGTACTAGCAAAACAGAACCAACCAGAAGCTCCAGTTGCGGATAGAAGGCCGACGGGGGAAAGGCAGGGAAAAGGGGGTTGTATATGCACATGTTCGGTGCATTGGGTTGAAGAGATGTCGTAGTCTGCAATAGCTGGTATCACGCAAGCTTTTGCTCATCTCCGCCGGTCGAGAATGGTGAGCATGGTCGGGACATGGGGTGCTGTGTTATGCACTTGGCCAGCTTGCATCGTCGTTGTTGCTGCTGCTGTTGTTGCCGCCAATTCGGCCCAAGGGCACTCCCATTCTGGGAGCTTGGGCATGCACCCCTCTGGTGCTGTGGGCTTGCGAGTGGAATACTCATGTCAAAGCCGGCATTGACGAATTCTTGTCAGCATTGGAACCGAGATACTTCAGTGCCTTCACGGAGATGCGCCGAGAATGAACGTTGACGTCTGCAAGCTCGACTTCAAATTGGTCTCCGACCCGGACGTCTTTGATGAGCATCTTCTTGTTCAAGCCTTCAATATCCATCACCGCTTGCAGATCGAACAAGTCCACCCTGCCAATGCAGCCCTGTCGCCAGCGAGAATCGACGGTAAACCGGAGCTTTTCAGGCGCCGTCTTCTCGAAGCGCCATGCGCGGACAAGGGCCATAAGGATCCACTCGAGAATGCCACGAGAGACTGTTCGCGCCATCTTCTCGCGCACCTGTAACAGTGGGAGCGTCGTTGCAAGCTGGCTGGTGGTAAAGGGGAGAATGGCATCCAGGTCGTCAGTGATGGGGTCGATGGTCCGCTGAATCTTCCGCTCGTGTGCCAAGGCAGCATGGATCTGCCAGTGAACCAGCAGGTCAGAGAAGCGGCGGAGGGGCGACGTAGCTTTGGCGTACATATCGAGGCCAAGGAGGAAATACGGGCCAGGTTGACTGGCTATTTCGATTCCGCCAGTGTGTCGGATCAGTTCTTGCCGCTGGCTGCTGCTTGGTTCGATTCCTTTCTGAACCAGAGGGTAAATGTTCTTTGTTGCATAGTCAAATGCCTCCTTCCAACCATGCCGGAACTTGACGTCCCTCCGATAGGGAATAGGGATGCCGCGAGATGAACACCAGCGTGCCGCGATTTCACCGGCCAGAACCATTGTGTTGGAGACGACGGAACAGCCAGTTGATGGCTCATAGGCAGCCTTGATGTAAGGATCCGCGGGCAGAAACCTGGACGTGTCTGTGGTATCAGGGGCATCACCTTGCTTCACGGAGACGGAGGGGCGCGGAAAGAAGTACGGCCATGCGCCCTTGGAAAGGCGCTTGCTCCGTAGGGCCTCGGCGAGCTGATATAGTACCAACAAATCTTCTTTGCTCGACGCATCTAGATCTTCGGGGGCAGTCATTGGCCGGTTGACCTCTGGTTCTCCATTCCCTTCTAGGGTTCCAACGGTCAGACTGTAGCTGGGGACTGGCGGCGGTGGCGGCTCATTGCAGAAACGAGATACATCTTCGGGATCCAGATAAACAACTTTGTCAAGCGTGCTAGGCTCGACCTTGAAATCCAGCAAGTCGCCGGCCCTGTTGACCTTCGCACTGAAAGTCAATGCTGGGCTACCTGGCTTGAGTGAGAACTGGCCAACGAGACCGTCCGAGGCATAGTCCTTGGCATCGTCCTCTTCTCCTAGGTTGGAGGGAAGCATAGCTTGAAAGTGCCCAGGCAGGTAAATGTTTTCGGGTATCAGCTCCATAAACTTGCACAGGTCAGAGTTGGGCTTGATGCTCGACGCAGGATCAGCCGCGTGGACGTGAAGCCAAAACTCATCAGGGTTATCCGTGCGTTCTAGCGAGATGCCGTCGTCAATAACCATGGTAGAAACTGCGTCGATGCAGAATATGGTGGATTGCGTGTGTGCTCGCCTGAATCCTGCTGCAATATCTGGCCGCTTCGAGGCTTCGATATCTTTGGGAATGTCACGTTCCAGTCCACCACCCCTAGTGATTTTGACTTCTGGGAAGCGCACTTTGTAACGTGACGGGACTTCCCACGGGGGAATGATGCCGATCTCCTGCAGAAAAGTCCAAGCAGTGCTCTGGTCGAGGACAGCGTCGTCGTAGAGCTGGAGAGCACGGAGGATCAAGGCGCCGTGGCCGTGAAACTTCGATCCAGGTTCGAAGAGATCGTAGCTCGCCCACCATTCTAAGAATGAAATGATATCCTTGCTAGGCTGGGACCACTCTGGCTGCGGCAGCTCCATACCATCTGCAGGGGTGAGGATGCCATGCGGCGTCCATTGTCTCTTCGAGCGACTGGCAAGGACGGTCCTGCGTGCCTCCAGTATGAACAGACCCAGGGCAGTGTCTTCCAGCTCATCACGGGTGGGCTGCCTAAAGCGTTTCCCGCTCGTTGCCGTGTAATCACGCACCATGGTAACGACTCTGTTGATGACATTCGCTTGATAATGAGGGAAGATTTCGAATAAATGATCTCGCCGGTGGCAGTCGCTAGTCGGGCTGAGCGGCCGGAAGCCAATTTCGTTCTGGTAAAGAGCTGCATGGACCGCATAAAGGGCAAAGGGCGGGAACCGGCCGTCCTTCTTCAGAGACGCCGGCAGCAGTATGTCGGCGATTTCGAAAAGACTGAGGTAGCTGACCTGTCGCCGGTTTGACAAGAACGTCCGAACGGCATCCAGCTTTGCGAGGTTGCCTTGGCGCACTGCATCTGCTTTGAGTCTAAAGTCCACCATCTTCTCGATCAGCCGAGCGCCGTCGTCTCTGGAAGGGCCGTTGTCGTTGCGACGGAGCTCCTCAAACAGCTCCGGTGTCCCGTTCTTGGGCATCTTGGCAATCACAGGCGCCAACTCCTCCTGGGTCACAAACTTGGCAACCGTGAACAGCGGCGAGTATCCCATGCTGGTTAACCATCTACCGTTGGAGGCGTAGAAATGGTGTCTCTCTCCAAAGTATCCCAGATAGATTGCGAACAGGGGCACTCTCGAGCCAATTTGTCTGGTTAAACCGTCAGCAAGCGTACGAAAATGACAGGGGCATGTCGACTTCTCACTTCAATTCAACGAAATCACCGGGCTGTCTGGTGCTCACACCAACAGCAGCCGTCTCCGGCTCGCCATCCCCCAAGTCCTCTTCAATTGCGTCTGTCATTCCGGTCTGAACAGGCCGCAGCTGGTCCATCTCGGAAGAACCTGTTGACTGAGTTCGACTGAGGTCGTTTGATACTCCTCCATACAGGACCATATCGGGAGGCATGCTATCGGGATTGGTTTGTTCGCCATACTGGGCAGTCCATAGCCGCAGCCGCTTGCGGATTGGCAGATAGGAAGCATATTGATCTGCTGATTCTAGTTGAGGGGCGGATTGGGGTACATGACTTTGCCCATATTTCGGTTGAGGCTGAGACTCGCTGTTTGTGCTCGCCCAATGCTATGCAGTCTGTGTAAGTTGAAGCTTATGATGCGGCCAGGATGAAACTCACTCTCTGAAGGCCAAGATAGGCTGTCTTGGTTGATGAAACAGAATGAGCTCTCGTCAGCCCATTTGTAATGGCACGACAGCGGCTACGCGACAGACACTGCCTCTGAAAAGACTGACAAGCCAGCATGGCGGGCATACGGCATTCACATATCAAAAGTTCAAAGGACAGTGAATTTTTCAAGCCTCTTCTGAGCTTTTCATGGGAGTGTGGCGTTGTTGTTGGTGGCGTTGTGAGTCACGTGACACTTCTACTGTACGGCAGGAGCATCTTAAATACAGTACTTACCTACTAGACTAGTAGTAGTAGGCTGTGGCTTGTGTCGCTGCAGATGATATCGCAATCAGCCATGCAAAGAATAGGTAGGAATAGGCACCTTGACGTAAGGGGAGTTGCAGCAGGTCACCAATTGAGAATCCAATAAAAGCCTTTCGGAAGCCATGCAGTAGATGCAAATATCTGCTCCTCTGCGAATGGGGGATGAGTGCAGTAAGAAACCCATTGCGTGTGCTACTCAATGCAGACTCGGTCAACGACGTAATACTTGACACGATTGCCCCAGCAACAGGTTGCACAACAGCCATCATGTCAGATCGGTCTCTCCACGCTTGCAAATGCTGAAGCAGCCCGTGATACTCGTCAGTACCTAGACAGTTGTCTTGACTACAGCAGCTGTAGATAGCAGATATTTAACAACCGTTAAATGTCAACTCCCAAATGGGGGTCGCCTATGGAGCATTTGGCAGATGGTGGCGTTTTTATCGCCAGAAATCGAGCGTTTAAGCGTCTTGCTAGGGAGAAATCTAGATGCTTAGTGGTGACGCAGATCCCCCGGCTTTAATAGGTCAGTACCTAGTAGGTATTCTATAGCGCTCTTTGTCGATTCTGTAGTCCCAGATGCCAGACAAGGCAGGCAAGGTGCTGACGTCCCTTGCTCCTGCACCGAATGTTCGCTCCAAGAATGGCAGCAGCACTGGGGATCCAAAGGAGCAGACAAGGCAGGCGCCAGGGATCGGAAGGGACGACGAGATGAAAGAAAAATCTGCTCGCGACTCAGCCCTCGCTTACAGGAAAAGAAAGGAAGAAGAAGGTTTTTTCTCTCCCACGCACAGCACAGAACACACGGTAATGATACTTTGACAGCGGTGAAGCCTCAGTTGCAATTGCGCATCGTTTCACCCAAGTCCCGTCTCGCCGCTCTGTCGTTCTAATTGATTCTATTCGCAGACGTTGATTTCTCTTATTTCGCCTGAGCATCGCCTTGTGTATAATCTACACATTCTATTACTGCTAATCTGCTCTCCTGGGCACCGTCGCGGTCCCACGCCCAAGCGATGCAGACAGACAGACAGACAGACAGACAGACGAATGCTACCATCACGGCACGAGCGACTTTTCTCATCTGGGCCTGCGGGAACCAGCGGTCTGTTGCTCGTCAGACCGAAGCACAGGGACTCAACACGGCTCTACGGCGTGCCCGGCTCTTTGACGACCCTGCGTCGCAAATTGAGGATTGCCTTTTGCCATGGGTCAACCCAAGCGACCCCCTTGAATGGCAGGGGTATGAGCCCATTCTGCAAATACGAGAATTACCAGAATAGTAAGGGCTAACAGCGAGCAGGTCGCCATGATTGGACAGCATCGGACCGGCTTTTTCCTCGAACCAGACCTGGTGCCCCTTTCTCGAAATGAGCAGTTCGTGCAGCGTAGCGGTCAAGCTTCCAAGGTGCTTCTTACGCCTCCGTTGACATTACGGCCATTGCTTCGAAGATTTCATGCGGACCGGGCTCAGATCGGGCCAAGACATCTCCAAACGAATCCCTTGCAAGAGCTCAAGTTTGGACTCAAGGCCGGGGGTGGCAGGGAAAATGCCCTTGAGCGGTGCGGAGAATCTAAGCTTAAAATGGCACAAATGCAACCCACCGCTGAGATTGAGTCGGAGGTCCAGGCGTCGAGAGCAGCGAGACCGCTGCAATTCCCCATACTTCCTATGCGGACCTGGCGATGAAGACTTGCACGGGTCTCTCCATCATCTTCAGCGCCCCTAGCTCCCAGAAATGGCGCTCGCCGGAAGAGACAGCCATCGGCCATGAACTGCGGCTGACGCCATTGCCAACATCAGAAACGCCCGACAGGCCGGACACTACGCTTAGGCAAGGGACGGCGCACAAACTGGGCCTAGCAAGATGTGAGGCGCTCTGTGTGCCTGGCCCGCTCATGCGCCAAGCGGAGTAGGCAGACGCAGGAACAATCTCGCAGCCTCCCAAGCTAACAGTAGTGTCGAGCCAACCCGCGTCCGAGATTGGCCAGAGGATCGTCCCCCAGCGTTGATTTGCCAGAGCTTCTAGTCTCCTGTACCTCCAACATGGAAGGGAGCGGCGCCAGCTAAACATCTCAGATGACAAGGCGATGCTCATCTCCTAGCACGGAGGTGATCAACCACTCATCACCGGGATCCCGAACATGCAGAGTGACGGACCCTTGGAGCTCTGATTCACACAATCGCAATACGAAGGCATGTTTGGGTGTTCTACATCGGGCACTGGTCTTCGCTGATGAAGAGCATTCCCCCCCTGGTCCAGTTCTGCAAAGCTCAGAAGCCTCAATGTCGCAGCTCTCCTTCATTGTTCGCAGCTCAGCTCCTCGCTGCTCGGGTACTAGCAATAGGCAAGGACATCGACCAAGTCCATGATTTGTTTCAGCTAGCCGCGCCGAGTGCTCGCTGCCCCCTTTCAAGGAGGACTCTGGGCGCAAAATCGTAATTGCTTGGCCAAGCTCCACCCTCCCCCTATTTGGCGTCGAGAAGCCGCCTTGGCCCAGCAGCTGCTTGTGTCGGAAGCGACCAGTAATGGGCGCAGAGGTAGCCACAGTGGCTCGTCTTCCTTCCACCCCCCTTCTCTGTCGACCCCCCTGTCATTCCTCTGCCAGCTGGGCCGGTACCTCGTCTGCAGCAAAGGATTCCACAGCCGACCAGGTATTGCACGTTCCGGCCGACTGTTGGTGAGCACACCTCCCATGCTACCTGGCCAAGTCTAATAACAACAACGAGCCATGTCACCCGCCTGCACGCGCACCGCCCGTACTCATAATAATGGCCGCTCTGCCCACCTGGCCTTGACGTCTCTTGTTTCTTCTTTTCCTCACTCCCCACGGATCGTCAAAGCGAGGTCTTGAAGGAAGCTGCTTCCATTCGCCTTTCCTGCTGTTGTTCTCCAGTAAACCAACTTACCGCTTCACTCTTTTAGCGGGCATTCTTTTTTGTACTTGATATTTTCCACGATGAAGGGAACGTTCGCCGCCGCTGCCGTGGCTGCCCTGACCGGCGCCGCCAGCGCCTCTCACGCCCACCGCCACGCCCACGAGCTCTTCGCCGCGAAGAGGTTCCAGACTGGCGAGGTCTGTGTTCCGGGATGCACCACCATCTGGTCGACCATTACGGGCGAGCCTACTTGTATGTTGATAACCCCATGGATTCCTCATTGAGGGGAAGAAAAAGAGCAGAGATGCCGGCCCCCCTCCCTCCGAGCACCCGGTGTAAGTGGCCTTGAGCTGACATGATCCTGAAGTGGTTCCCGCCAAGGTCCCTACGACCTCTGCGGCTCCCGTTGAGCCCACGACCGCCGCTGCGCCGGTCACCACCACCGAGGCCCCGGCTCCCCCTCCTACTTCTGAGGTCGTCGTCGTCCCTGTGCCGACTCCTGCGCCGGTCACCTTCCCTACGCCTGGAACCTACACGATCCCGGCCACGACCATCACCCTGACCGACACCACCACCGTCTGCGGTGCCAGCTCTACCCAGGTTCCTCCCGGAACTCACACCGTCGGCGGTGTCACCACTGTCGTTGAGACGGCCACCACCGTTGTCTGCCCCGTTGCCAGCATCTCAACCAGCGGCACCGTGGTTACCAGCGTCATTGTGCAGACCACCTACGTCTGCCCTGCCGCCGGTACCTACACCATTGCTCCCATCACCACCGTGGTCCCCTCGTCCACCCTCCTGGTCTACCCCGTTCCGACCAGCTACGAGCCCGGCACCTACACTGCTCCCGAGCAGGTCGTCACCGTCACCGAGACCGACTACGTCACCTACTGCCCCTTTGCCAGCTCTGGCCTCCCCACGACGACGGCTGCCCCCGCCCCTGTGACCACCAGCCCCGCCTACGCCCCTCCTGCTCCTGCTCCAGCTGAGACTACTCAGGCTGCTCCCTCCATCCAGGCTGTCTCCAGCGCTCCCGCCTACGCTCCTCCTCCTCTGGTTTCCGTTTCTGTCTCCACGCCTAAGCCCAGCCAGGCTGCCCCCAAGCCCAAGCCCCAGCCTCACGCTCCTAGCGGTGGCCTGAGCGGCAGCAACGACCACTACGGTATCACCTACACTCCTTATGAGGCTTCCAGCGGCAACTGCAAGGCCGCCTCCGAGGTTGATGCCGACATTGCCAAGCTCAAGGCCGCCGGCTTCCAGGTTATCCGTGTCTACTCGACTGACTGCAACACTCTCGAGAACGTTGGCAGCGCCGCCAAGAAGTACGGCATTGACTTGATCATTGGAGTCTTCGTCAAGGGTGATGGCTGCAGCTACGACACCCCCGACATCAAGAGCCAGGTCGACGCCATCTCTTCCTGGGCTCAGTGGGATATGGTCAAGCTCTTTGTGGTTGGTAACGAGGCTATTATGAACAACTTCTGCTCTCCTTCCCAGCTCGCCAGCCTCGTCTCCACCGTCAAGGAGAAGTGCAGCGGCTACAACGGCCCTTACACCATCTCCGAGACCCTCAACATCTGGCAGCGCTCTGACGTCTCGTCCGCCATCTGCGGTGTTGTCGACGTCACCGGTGCCAACATCCACCCCTTCTTCAACTCCGCCACCACTCCCGAGAACGCGGGTGACTTCGTCTCCGGACAGCTCGACCTCCTTGGCAAGATCTGCCCTGGCAACGACGTCATCAACCTGGAGTGTGGCTGGCCCAAGCAGGGTTCTTGCAACGGTGCCGCCTGCCCCGGCGACAGCGAGCAGGCCACCGCCATCAAGTCCATCCGTGAGAGCTGCGGTAGCAAGACCGTCTTCTTCTCCTACGATGACGACCTGTGGAAGCAGCCTGGCAGCTTCGGCTGTGAGCAGAGCTGGGGTGCCGCCGCGGCCTTCGCCATCTCTGCCTAAGGAGGTGTTTTGGGATTCAAGCAATTGCAACGCGTGATGGGTTTTTACTTCAGCTGAACATCATTTACTGAATGTATCCAAAGGTCAACCTCGCCCGGCTCTGTCCGCCAGCCCCCCCTTGTGTATTTTCTGCCACTAGACCGGGACCACGAAGATATCCTGATGCCGATTTGGAAGTTTAGGCGGTCATAACAGCGTCGGGGGCCGTTTATTGACACGAGATGGAACTTGGTTGGCTGCAACTTTCCTTGTGTCTTTTGTGGTATTGTGTGATAGCGGGTCTTGTGGCGTGTGTTTTGGCAACTACACGGTTTTCTGTATATGAAGTCGCCATAGATCCGGGTGTACATTTAGCATCTGATCGTAATGCTGTAATTATTTAATATTCGATGAAATGTTTGCATCGTGACCTTGAACCGAGATGACCACAAGAGCAGTACTTTAAAGTAGTAAACAGGAAGCTGTACACGTCCAACACTCGCTCATTGATACTCACCGGATCATTCTCTGTCTCTACGCTCTACATATATCATTCAAACTATTACGATTCCGACTATGAACCGTTCCGTAAGACATTTGATTCACGACCTCCGATACACGTTGGTCGGCCAAGAGCAATTACCGCGGATAATGTCTGAAATCTACCTAGGTAGATTGGCCAAATGTGCCGAGTTCAATAACCTCTAAACCCGCCGTTCCTACCCTAAAACCTCACAAATCTAAAACTACAATCACTTCTTCTCCCCCTTCTTCCTCTTCTTCTTCTTCTTCTTCTTCTACGCACATTAGTCTTTAGAACCTCAAGAGAAGCAATTTGACTACGCGTCATGTGGAGGCATAGTTGGCCATACTCACAACTGCCTGCTGTTTGTTGTTGCTCTATGTACGGGGTCAAATAGAAAAGATTAGAGTAATGCTATTTGAACCGTACCATATTGCTATTTGGACCGTAGTGGTCCGTGCCACAGCTAGAGGAACACCCCCAAGTACTAAGGTCCACGCCCACACACCAAAATACAGTGTAGCACACTGGCGGTCATTACCGTCAAGGAGAGGTCACCAGAAGAAGGGCATAAGGGCTGCTGACGCCGGCTGGGTGGCCGGGATGACCTCTAGCTAGACGCGAACACAAACAACTGGGATGAGGCCCTGCTGCCGCTGCCGCTGCTGCTGCTGCTGCTGCCACTGCTGCTGCTGCAACCGTAGATGAGAATGAGGACAAGGCGCCGCCGCCCTCTACCTTGACGACCGAAGATGACCAAGTCGTGGTGTTGTTGTGTGGGCTACCGGCCTTGCCATTATTCCACACTGTAAATGGGTGTGCAACTTGTGGTCAAAGTGGTGTGAGCATAACAATTTCAGTACAGGCACGGACCACTACGGTCCAAATAGCAATATGGTACGGTTCAAATAGCATTACTCAAAGATTATGATGTAATTACGTGTTTGGAATACACTTGGCTAGGAACTTTGGGAATGTTTTTTTCATATATATATGGCAATGCCATGACAATGCGGTGATATCTCTCTGATGCACACCCTTTTTGTTTTCGCTCCGATTCCTTTTTTTTTTTTTTTTTTTTCCGTTGACCCGATGGGCGTGGACAGAAGGTACCTACGCAGCATTCGCAATAGCAGACGAGGAGGAGGATTAGAGAGAGCTACGTTGAAATTCTTCTTAGGACAACGGGTGTAAGCTCAAACTGAACATACCTACCTACCCCCCCCTCGATCTATTGCTTGTCACCCTGCTGATCGAATGCCCGCCCTGCTAGATCTAGTACATATAAGGGGACTCCTTGAAGCGGTATACATGCAGATGTCGATGGGTCCCAAGTTCAGAGATTGACTTGGCTACCAAGTACAGGGTTATAGTCGAGATGCAGTGCGTATTCCATCGTGTATTGCTGGATATACCCATGTAGCCCTTTCAATAAATTCGATTCCATGATCCCCTTTGTTTTTTTTTTGTTATTCATCTTACCTACCCTAGGCAGGCGGCATATATCCTTATAACACCCTTCCCGGATTTCCCATCAGAGAGCCCAATTTGCATTGTTGATATGAACCCTTTCCTTTCCCTAAATCGAGCGTAGAAACAGAACTCGAGGAGAAAACAGAGTGCAAGGAGAAGAGTTCTTCAGTTATGCATACGCATAACGAAGAAGACACCGAGTAAAGAATCGGAGAAGAAGAAGAAGATGATGATGATGACGGACGATGAGAGTGAAGGAAGAAAAAGAAGAAGGAAGATTGGCTCGCTTGTGGCGCCCTTGCATGCACGTCCTCGTGTATTCGACTCCAATACATAAAAATTACCAATGCCCAGAATGAAGAATTAACAGAAGAAAATATGTGATGAGCGAGGTATTTGAAAGAAAAAAGAGAAAAGCGTTTGAGCCACCTATCAAGGCTATACGCTTTTTTTTTTCTGTTTCAACATTTTACCTTTTCCTTTCCCTTTTCCTCAAATTTCCCTATTTCTTTTCTTTCTTTCTTTGATGTTCCTTTTCTACATCTGCGTCCGCCATCTGCAACATATGGAAGCCGGAATCATCGTGCGCAAGATTCAACAAGAAGGAACCTCAAAATCATCATAAGTCCTTGTGCCCTATCGACAAGGAGAATGAAGAAGAGAAAGGAAAACCAATATGTTCCACAAACATAACTACTAAACGGCAATTGCCAAGTGGCAACCCGTAAACCATAGACTTTGAGAAACAAGAATGGAAATACCACAATGGATCATGCCGACAAAGGTGTTAATTGACAAGAGGAACGGCGGGCAGAAAGTCAAGTCATCACAGGCGTAGAGGGAATAATGAAACAAAACAGGGTTGTACAAGCCTAAAAGGGACAGCTTGAGCGAGCATGTGACGCGACAGAGGGACAAGGAAAGGGGGGGAATATGCATAGGAGAATATCGTAACGTCATAACCAGCCGGAGGGCAACATCCGCTTAAAACACACCCGGGCCGTCCATGTACATTGGCGGCCGGCGCCGTTTCACAAAGTCCCATTGGTTGAATGGCCCTCCCTCTCCGTGCGTGCGCTGGCGGCCTCCCGAGAGAGGCTCGTCGACGCCAAAGCTGCAGCGCTCAAACTGCAGCAGGCCGCCGCGGTGGGCGTCGCAGCAGAGGACGTTGAGATCCTGCCCGTCGTTGGTAAAGGCCACGCCACCAATCTCGCCAAAGACGTCAATGGTCTGCTTGGTGGTGAAGGTCTGGGCGTCAATCAGGTTGACAAAGTCGGCCTCTTCGGCCGCGGCGAGGACGGGCCTGCCACTGCCGGACGGGGAGAAGCGCAGATTCCGGACACCGGCCATCTCGGTGGATATCGTGGTGAGCGGCGCGCTGACCCCGTTGGCGTTGCGCCAGTAGCGGGCGTCCCAGATCTTGACCGTCCTGTCCTGGAATCCGGTGGCAACCGTGTAGCCGTTATCTGACCAGTCGCAGGCGAATCCGTAGTCGCGGTGTCCGCCTAGCTGCTGCAGAATCTCTCCCGTCTCTGCGTTGGTGATGAGGACGTTCAGGTCGTCACCCACAACGACCCTCAGCCGACCATCCGGTGACATGGCTGAGCAATTCAGGGCAAACGGATAGGTGAATTTGGCGGTAAACTTTTCCGTCTGCAAGTCCAATAGGCGGAATCCCTGATCGTTGCTTGCGATGGCGGCAACAGGACTTCCCGATCTCCTGGGCTTATATATCTTGATGTGGTTGGTTATCCCACTGATGTCGTTTGATATCTGCCCCTCGGAATAGGCCCTTTTGTCCTGGGTGCTCAGCGACTGCAGGAAATAATCTCCGTTAAAGGTGCCGGCCATCAAGACGCCGCAGCCGGCATCGAGAGTGGAAACTGCAGGGGCCGTCATGCCGGCAAACGCACGGAGGTTCATGGCCAGGCTCGTCCTGTTGGTCGATGTGTTCATCACATTGATGCCCTGGGTGCTGGGATAGTACGCATGCGTCCGAGTGGGACATGCCAGCACGCTCCGAAGCTGGAAATGGGCCAGGCTGATGTCTTTCCGTATGTCCATTCTCCTGAATCTGAAGAAGCTGTCGGTGGAAGGGAGCTGTGCCTCCGCTGAAGACTATAGAATCTTTGTGTTAAAAGAGGGGGAAGAAGAAGAAAGAAAGAAAGAAAGAACGAAAAAGGGGGTAGAACAGGAGACGCTGGATTTACGCATAATGGGTAAGGAAGCATAGCTGAGTTTGGCGTGGTGCAAGAAAGTAAAAATGAGAACTTACAAAGGTATCGGAGCCCAGTCTGTTGACGTAGTTCTTATATGTGAGCCGACGGATGCGCCTGGCGGCATGGCGCGTCGTATTCATGCTGTCCCAATCCAGCCCTTGCATGTCACAGCCGTCGCCGCGCAGATCATGGTAGTGCACCCGCTCGACTCCGCTGGTGGCTTGCTTCAGGACTCTGTGGAGGCCCGGGACTGGCAGCTTTTTGCCGCGAATGACGATGTGGCCGTATGCCCAAATGCGCAAAAAGTCAATCAGGCCGTAGTTCTCGGACCCCAAGATGCTGGGGTTTGGATTGCTGATGTGGACGGGAGGGAATGGGTCGAGCAGCAGTGCTTGTTCTTCCTCGTCGAGGGATAGCTCGTCATCCGTCAGTCCTTGTCCCGGCAGCTGATTCGCGGCTTGGTTGACCAGAGCCTGTGTGAGGGCGGCAACGGACGCCATTGGCTGCGGACCTGCCCCTTGCAGGTATTGCATGAGGGACGGTAATGGAGTGGTTGAGGCGGTCGGTGTCTGCTCCGGCGGTAGATAGAGATCTTCTTCCATCAGCGCCAATACCTCGGCGTCAAATTCCTCGTCCAGATCCTCATCGTCCAAGTCCTCATCGCCATCGAGGTCGTCGTCGTCGTCTTCCCTCTCCATATCGTCTTCGTCGTCCATGGCGTTGGCGTGGTAGAAGTAGTGACTGGGAGCCATTGCGCCGCTGGCCACGGGGTTGATGGGAGCAGCCCCATTGTGACTGTCGAGAGGCGCGCCCCCATCACTGTCACTCATTTCTTGGTCGTGATTCGCCTGTGGTGGAGGATACTGGTGGCTCTGGGCGTAAGACTGTCCGTAGGCATGTCCGTAGTACACGGTCGTGTAGGGGAAGCTTGGATTTGCCTGAAACTCCAAGCTGCCATTGCCGTTACCACTGCCATTGGCAGCGCCGTCGGCGGGGGCAGCTTCGACTGGCGCTGGCGTCATGACCTCCTCTGCGTCGTAAATGTCGTCTTGGTCGTATTCGTGGTGCTGATCGTGCTGGTCGCCGTATGTGCTAATGTTATTGCTGCTCTCGGGGCTATGAAAGGTCGCATCCTGTGCCTGAACCTGGTCCCTATTGTCCTCGTGCTTCGGCTGCCCAACGTGGATGTGGCAGCTGTGATAGCGGATGCAGTAGACGCAGCGCTCAGGAGGAGGGACATCGGTCTCGTCGTAGTCGTCTAACTCGTCGATCCCATCGTCCTGCGGCAGTGGAAGGGATTCGGATCGCATGACTGTCAGCGACGACAAGGCTCGGGAGCCAGGTGTTACGGGACAGCGGCAGCGCACGCGCACAGCCGGCCTGCTTTCCGACTTGTGCCTTGTCCGCTTTCGTTTTCTGCCGCCGGTTGCTGGGCCCTGGCCGCTGTTCCCCTGGTAGAATTGGATACACAAGCAGGGGCCTGTCGCGCGCTCTCTGTTTTTGCCTGCTTTGATTTGGCGCAACGATCCAAGCCGTCGGAGGCACGAGTGACCCGGCAGCCGTGCGCTACTCTAGGTATTCCAGCGTCGTCGAAGAGCTACTGCCCTTGCTGCTGCAACGGCACCTTGTCCTGGTCCTCCTGGAGTGTCTTCCCAATGTCTTGCGATGGCCGAGGCTGGAGAACCGCCCCAAGATCGCGATTGGATGCCGGTATACCGCCGTTTGCTGCTCCCGTCCTCAGGCGGAGGGAGCCCCAGCTGGGTACCTGATGTATCCTAGTTGACTCGCCCACGCACTAGTCTCTCAAACGCTGGGGCTTGGCTGCTTGCTGCAAAGCCTCCACCGGCGCCGTAGTCGCAGCCTCGGTATACAGGCGTTGTCTGGCGCGCAGGGTCGAATGACTGACCGGGTACCTGAGGCGAGGTCGAAGATGGAAGACAGGCACCTATAAGGGACGATACAGAGGCGAGGCAGCTCTTCCTCAGCACTGCTTGTGGAATGGGATTCCGTCAGGTCGCCGATGGCGATGACAGGCAATGCTGGCGAGGATGCTGGGTTCGGAGTCGGCAGCGGATGGCGGTGGGCCTGGAAGAGCTGGCTTGTGCTCTGACGAAAGGCACACCGGCCGAGACGGCTCTCGTGATGGTGGGTGTGAAGGCGCTCGGCGACAATGCCGATGATGGAGGAGAGTAGGTGATTTGAGGATTGGAGCGGGCGAGGAAGGTAGTGCGAGCGTCCAAGTCGTTCTTCGTTATCGATATGGCCGCCCTGCTATGCGATGTACGTATGTATGTAGGTATGTACTAAATGTTGGGCAAAGGTTGCAGTTGGGAGAGTTGGGTTGCGGTGGCGGCATGCAGAAAAGGGCGTTCTTGAGTCGCAGAGAGGCTCAACGGGCTGGCGCGAGGTTGTGGACAGGCCCCAGCTTTAATACCGGCTGCCGCATGGATGTATCAAAAAGTACGAATCAGAGACGAGGAAGCGGGAAAACGAGAGAGAGAAAAGAGGTGTGTGTTGAACAAGAACAAGAGCAGCGACTCGTTTGGTGCGAGTCAAGTTGTCCCCTCTCGCCTCCTGGTCACCTTTGGCTCAGCTGTCACTTTTTCTTCAGTTGGGCCCTCCGGCTGCACTGCTGTTTGAGAGAAGAGACAACAAGGAGAGAATTGAGAGGAAGCGTCGAGCTACGTAGGGCTGACGCCGATGGCTGGCAGAACGCGATGCTGTTCGCCAGCTTGCGGTCGAGGGGGCGCACAAATCAATCAATCAATCAATCAGACAATCAATCAAGACAGCCAAAGAAAAAAAAAAAAAAGAGAGATCAAATAAGACAGGCGACGTTAGCGCCGGTTGCGGCCTGGCCGTCGTTGTCGTCGCGAGGATTTCTGATTTAATTTGCGGGAGAGAAGAAGATGCATCAGACAGAAGGTCCAGAATCAGACACATCATATGCGCGGCCTGTTTGGTGAGGAGGCCACTCTCCGAGCACTGCCAAAATAGGCGCCAAAACCGGGACTGGGGGCGGTTCCCCCTCCCAAAATATGATGGACGCCGCTCGTCGTGCACGTTACCTCGATTTCGTCTTTCTCTAGGTAATAAACTTGCAGAATGCCTTTTACAGAAAAGCAGAACCTACTTACTGTAAGACACGAATGCCTTGCTGCCTCTGCTGGGGACGATGCCGTTTGACTGTCCGCCACGGAGACGCACGCCATACATGTACGAGCCCAGATACCCATCAACAAACACCCACCCCCCTGGACATACAACTATCACCTATTACCTAGGTTCATACTCACAGCCGGGCCGGGGTCTGTCCAAGCATTCTGTACATACATACTTCATACCTACCTTACCTACATGACAAGGTGGACCGCTTTCACTGCACTGCTGCACTGCAATTGCCTGGAGTGATGATACTGTATCTAATATGCATGTATGTACAGAGGTATGTACGAGCAGGTATGGAGGCAAGGTATTACACCACGACCCTCCCTCGTTATTGCTCGGCCAATCCTTGAATCACTCGACGCCCAGCGACGGCCTCGAGAGCTGCACGTGCGAGCCCGGCGCCTAGACGGGCCTTTTTATGCTGGAGCGTCGCACAACAGCCCGGACGACGCCCGCGGCATTGGCCAGCGGCGACAGAAGTGGCGCTGGGAGCTGCAGCCTGCGTGAGCAGGTTGACGATGGCTTGCTGCTGGGTGGACGGGAGGAGGATGAGGAGGAGGATGATGATGATGATGACTGGGTCTGTGAGCGAGGCTGGCGGATTGTGGTGGCGCAAACAGCGCCGGATGTCGCTGGTTATTATTATTGTTGGGCGAACAAACAGACAGACAGACAGACAGACAGGGCGGCAAGAGGTCAAAATCAGTTCCATACCTAGGTAGAATACATGGTGATGATCCATTGCACGTTGGTGCTCATTCATCTGCAGGTGATCTTTGGCTGATCTCGTCCATCAGTCATGTCCAGTAATGAGTCCTACCTAGGTATGTATGTACCCAATACGATACACATCCCCAGGGACAGGCACAGTTACAGACAGGCACGGCACGAATATGGACTCTCAACTGCAAGTGTGCGGACTTGGTGCCCGCTTCTTGTCTCGCCCCCCCCCCTGTAATATATCCGCTGCCGCAGATTCAAGGTTGTTTTGGGGGGGTGCGTCTTGTCAGGGTTGATGGGCTGGATGACAACTACCCAAGGTACAAACAAAGCACAAGCACAGGGCATCGTGCATGCGCCATCATCGACCAGACGGCTCTTCCCTGCCCTGTTCCTCGGTCTCCAAAATGCCGACTTGCACTCCGACAACGAGAACGACGGCGAGCAGAGTGTGTTAGGTATTCAACAAGTACCTCACCACTCACCAGCCGTCCCGAGTCTATCGTCTGAAGACAGTCGACTATAGTAGTAGATGGTATGTAACACAAAGCATCAAGAGAAATAAGCCTGGAAAGTAGGAACACAAGAGACGTCAGTACCCGATTCCCTTTTTTTTTTCGCGGGTTTGTGATCCAGTCACCAAAATCTCATCGCCCACTTCCTTCTTTACTTCATCACCTCACGGCATCTCATCTCTCACATTTCCCAAAAAGCCACTCGTCTTCTTTGTCCCCCGTTCCATCTTTGCCTCTTCCATCGTTTCTATCATAAAATGAAATGAAATTCCGAATTCGGCTTGTGATACAGCACAATCACGACACGGCCAGGTGGACGAAATTGCCGCATACTATTATTACTACTATCGAGTACTGGACAAAAGGCCCTGTTTGACCTTCCATCTTCTGCCAGGATCTCCTCGATGAAAAAAAGTGACATGCTCCTCCTCCTCCTCCTCCTCCTCGTCGGCGTCTCCATGCATTGACGACGCACGAGGCGTTCGTTTTCGTTCTGGCCCGATTCATGCAAACAATTGGGCGAACAAGAGGATCCATCCGAATGAATGATATCACAGAGGAAAACAAATTGCCAAGCAGCAGAAAGAGAGGAGAAGAAGAAGAAAAAAAAAGACGAGAACAGGGCACTGCTGCATGCATGTCCTTGCAGAAGAGAGATACTACTAGATCCCTGACAAGCTTCAATTCTTGCTTCCCCCAGGCTTTTGATGCTTGTCCTCGGGTCTGGCCTGGCCTGGCTACATACTTACATGCATGCTCGTCACCGCCGAGGCACGTCGTCTCTCCCTCTCCTGGGCCTCGATGCGCACCAGTGGAAATAGCAATGGGCACTACTACGACTACGATAGTACTACATACATGTATTCCAGCATTGCGGGAATATGTGTGACAGCCACGCGCGCGCACACTCACACACTCACACGCTCTCTCTACTAGCTGGCTGAGCCGTCCTCCTTCTTGTCAGGGTCTGGCAATACGTGTTATTCAAGGCCTTGTCTTGCCAGCCAGGGTCCTGCCACATCCTGCTCATCTTGATGGGAAGAGCATCACCAAACTCGGAACAAAGTCATGCAGTCCTCAAGCCCTCTTGTCTCTCT